TACATAAGCTGTGTGCAAGGCAATCATTCAGTTTCTGAATATACTGAAGAGTTTATGCGTCTAGCGGAGCGTAATCATTTGACCGAGACCGAAAACCAAAAGGTTGCAAGGTATATTAATGGCCTGAAAATTTCCATTCAAGAAAAAATTGGTTTGCAGAATATGTGGACTTTGCAGGAGGCGATTAATATGGCGTTAAAGGCTGAGTTGTTGGAGAAGGAGAAACGCCAAACTAATTATCGCAGGAATACGATGGATCATTCAGAAAATGTTTCTACTTTTCCTAGTGACAAGAGGAAAATGCAGCAGCAAAACTTTGGCAGATTGTCAAAGCCATCGAACCTCCAAAGTAAAAGCAGCAATGAAGGCAGCAGCCGGTCTTCCAATAGAGTGCAGACCCGGAACCAGGCCCAGAAGGAGAATCCGTTTGCTAAGCCCATGAAGGATATTTGTTATTGATGCCAAAAATCAGGGCATCGTTCCAACGTTTGTCCCGAGCGGAGGCAAGCTAATTTTATAGAAGATGTCGGTGATGACGAAGAAAATGATGAATTTGTAGATGATGATTATGCAGGGGCTGAGTTTGCAATTGAGGAGGGAATGGAAAGGCTTACTTTGGTTTTACAGCGAGTTCTTTTGACACCAAAAGAGGAAGGGCAGCGACATAGCATTGCAGCTACCAACAGAGCCACATATCAGCCCTTATTCACTGGGTTGGGTTAGACAAGGACCTTCAGTTTGTGTTGCTGAGACTTGCCGTGTGCCACTCTCCATTGGTAAGCATTACAGAGATGATGTCGTTTGTGATGTTATTGATATGGATGCATGTCATATCTTGTTGGGGCGACCTTGGCAATTTGATGTGGATGCAACCATTAAGGGTTGAGATAATGTGATTTTGTTTTCCTGGAACAACCACAAGTTTGCAATGGCTACTACAGTGCCCTTAAAAAAATCAGTTGAGCCCAAAACTAAGAGTTCTAGTTTTCTAACTCTGATCAGTAGCGAGCAAGAGTTAAATGAGGCAATAAAAGAAGTAGATTATTTTTTGTCCCATGGTGTTGAAGGGGTTGCTGAAGGCCAGGAAAGAAGAAAATGTAATTCCTCCTGAAGTGCAACAGATTTTGTCAAAATTTCAGGAACTAATTTCTGACAAGCTGCCAAACGAGTTGCCGCCGTTGAGAGATATATAACACCACATTGATTTGGTACCTGGGGTTAGTCTACCAAATCTGCCACATTATCGCATGAGCCCTAAGGAGAACGACATCTTAAGAGAGCAGATTGAAGAGTTGTTATAGAAGGGTTTTATCAGGGAGAGCTTGAGCCCCTGTGCAGTTCCAGTCCTTCTTGTCCCAAAGAAAGATCAGTCTTGGCGTATGTGTGTTGATAGTCGAGCAATCAACAAGATTACAATAAAATATAGATTTCCCATCCCGCGTTTGGAAGATATGTTGGATGTGCTCGAAGGCTCTAAGGTGTTTTTCAAAATAGATTTGCGCAGCGGATACCACCAGATTCGCATCAGGCCAGGCGACGAGTGGAAAACAGCGTTTAAGAGCAAGGAAGGGTTATACGAATGGTTGGTGATGCCGTTTGGATTGTCAAATGCGCCTAGCACCTTCATGAGACTTATGAATCAGGTTCTTCAACCATTTATTGGCTCTTTTGTCGTGGTTTATTTTGATGATATTTTAATTTATAGCACCACAAAAGAAGAGCATCTTGTGCATTTGAGACAAGTCTTAGGAGTTTTGAAGGAAAATAAGCTATATGTGAATTTGAAAAAATGTACTTTTTGTACAAATAAGCTACTGTTTTTGGGTTTTGTGGTTGGTGACATGGTATCCAGGTGGATGACGAGAAGATCAAAGCAATTCTTGATTGGCCAACTCCAAAAACAGTCTCTGAAGTTCGAAGTTTCCATGGTTTGGCCACTTTTTACAGGAGGTTTGTGAGGCATTTCAGTTCCATTATTGCACCTATTACTGAATGTTTGAAGAAGGGCAGGTTCAATTGGGGAGAAGAACAAGAAAAAAGTTTTGCTCTTGTGAAAGAAAAACTTTGCATGGCTCCGGTTCTAGCTCTTCCAAAATTTGAGAAGGTGTTCGAAGTTGAATGTGATGCCAGTGGCGTGGGAGTGGGTGCCGTGCTTTCTCAAGATAAGAGACCAATTGCTTTCTTTTTTGAAAAATTGAGCGACGCTCGTCAAAAGTGGAGTACTTATGACCAAGAATTTTATGCAGTTATTCGAGCTTTGAAACAATGGGAGCACTATCTTATTAAGAAGGAATTTGTTTTGTTTACAGATCATCAAGCTTTGAAGTATATTAACAGCCAGAAACATATTGATAAAATGCATGCTAGATGGGTAACTTTTTTGCAGAAATTTTCATTCGTTATCAAGCATACTTCTGGCACCACAAATCATGTGGCTGATGCGCTGAGTAGAAGGGCTTCTTTGTTAGTTACTCTTACTCAAGAAATTGTGGGGTTCGAGTGTCTGAAGGATTTATATAAAGATGATGATGATTTCAAGGAAATATGGGCTAAATGTGCTAATCATGAGCCACATGCAAATTACTTTCTTAATGAAGGGTATTTGTTCAAGGGCAACTAGTTATGCATTCCATTTCCTCCTTAAGGGAGAAACTCATTTGGGATTTGCACGGAGGAGGGTTGAGTGGCCACTTAGGCCGCGATAAAACAATAGCAGGATTGGAGGAGAGATTTTATTGGCCACAGTTGAAGCGTGACGTTGGAACAATTGTGCGCAAATGTTATATTTGTCAAGTTTCAAAGGGACAAGTACAAAACACTGGATTATACATTCCTTTACCAGTTCCTAATGATATTTGGCAGGATCTTGCTATGGATTTTGTCCTTGGTTTGCCTCAAACTCAGAGAGGTGTGGATTCGGTTTTTGTGGTGGTTGATTGGTTCTCAAAAATGGCGCATTTCATAGCTTGCAAGAAAACCGCTGATGCATCCAATATAGCCAAACTGTTTTTCAGGGAGGTTGTTCGCTTGCATGGAGTACCTGCATCTATAACTTTTGACCGTGATACAAAATTTTTGAGCCATTTTTGGATCACTTTGTGGAGAATATTTGGGACTACTTTGAACCGTAGTAGCACTGCCCATCCTCAAACTGACGGCCAGACTGAGGTTACAAACCGAACATTGGGAAATATGGTGTGAAGCATTTGCGGAGAGAAGCCGAAACAATGGGATTATGCACTGCCACAGGTGGAGATTGCATATAACAGTGCAGTTCATAGTGCAACCGGGAAGTCACCGTTTTCCATTGTTTATACTGCTGTGCCTAATCATGTTGTAGATTTGGTGAAGTTGCCTAAAGGCCAGAAAATCAGTGTTGCAGCAGGGAATTTGGCTGAAGAAGTGGTGGCTGTTCGTGATGAAGTGAAGCAAAAACTCGAGCAAACTAATGCTAAGTATAAATCCGCTGCAGATAATATTTCAAGAAGGTGACTCTGTGATGGTGTTTCTGAGGAAGGAGAGGTTCCCTGTTGGTACATATAGCAAGCTGAAGCCTAAGAAATATGGTCCTTACAAGGTGCTGAAAAGAATCAATGACAATGCCTATGTTATTGAATTACCAGGTTCCATGGGAATTTCCAATACTTTTAATGTTGCTGATTTGTATGAGTTTCGGGAAGATGAAACCCTTTATCCATAACATAACTCGGGGTCGAGTTCTTCGAAGGTGGAAGGGACTGATGTAGAACAAATGGCTGAATGTATTGAAGAAGAATTGGAGCGAAGAAGGGAAAAAGGACGCTGCGGGAATTTACAAATTTGGCGTCCGAGCTCTGATTGGGTCGCATAATACCTTCTCGAAAAGGGAATGACATCACGAGTCCAACTCACAATACTTTTGTGACATATGATGGATTTTGGGCTTCTGAGGTCATTTAGCCTTCCAAAAGTGCATTTAAAGATTGTATTCAATTTACAGACCTTCCGTTTATTTTATGTTAAGTTTTCAATAACTTCACAGGGCAGTTTAATGGGTGAGAATGATGTATTTAGTCAGCCGTTATGCTTGGTTGAACTATTCTGAATTTTTATCAAATAATTCGAAGAGAATTTCTCTCTAACTTCCTGGTGGATTCCATATTATTGTTCTACAGGATTTTCGCTTGAAAACCTATTTGCTTGTGCTGCGCCACTATGGGTGATCAGTCTCATAACTAAATATGTGAAATTATGGTAGTAGAATTCTATTTATTTTATGTTGCTAAAATTGATGAAATATGTGAAATTTTTTATGGTTCACAACATAGGAACGTATATGGCTTTTTAACCCCTAGTTCTCTAGCCTATTGGTCCAAACAATAATTAAGAAATACCATACTTTATGCCTTTAGTCACTCGATTTGCCAAACGTCCAAACAATAATTAAGAAATACCATACTTTAGGTCTTTAGTCACTCAATTTGCCAAACGTCCAAACAATAATTAAGAAGTACCATACTTTAGGTCTTTAGTCACTCGATTTGCCAAACGTTAACTAGGTGTATCTTTTCTTATTTATTACCTTTATCATTGAAGATGTATAAATCATTAATAATAGTGTTAATCTACTTTAAAGAGTAAAAATACTAGCAATGTATCCAAACTCATAGCTCTTTAACTACTCTATGCTAGCGTAACGCTAATTATGAGTATATTTTCTTGCTTATCTTCAACCTACCTTTATAATTGAGGATGTAGAAATGATTAATATACTGTTTTAACATGTTCTGCAAATTTGGAAGATGTCATAAAGTAAAAGAGATTATGTTCAAATTTCGGAATAAATTTTTCACTAAGAAAAAATGATTTTTTATTTTTTATTTTTTTTAAAAAGTGATCCCCGTTTCTTTTTGTTGTTTTTGAGTTTCGGCTCGCATTATATCAAAAAAATAATTTCAAATATTTATATTTGACAATAGAAACAAATAATAATTAAAAACTTCCAAAGCATATAAGTAAACAACAAAAAACCGAAATACAGAGAAATGCTCCTTCGGCTCTTTCCTTCCATTGCCCGACCCTTCTTCTCACTCTCTTCCCGGTCAAGGTATTTTTCCATTTCCCTCACCTTTCTGTACTTCTCAGCATTAACTTCATTAAAATTAAATAGCGACCTACACACTTAGGAAGCTAGGCTAGAAAGACACCTGGAAGTACGAACTTTCATAGTTTCGTAGAGTTAGGGAATTAGGTACTTAGCCAGCAGTATGATACATTGATATTCTGATAGTTATATACTTGCAAGTTGCATGGTGTAGATTGTATTGTGCGAGCAGAGAAATGGGCCAGGACAGTTCAGAATGTGAAGTGATTCAAGTGAAGAGGCGCGCTTCATTTCGTTTATGCAATGTGTCAAGGTGCTTGCCTTTCCCTTCAAATCCTTTATGCTTTGCTATAATGGCCATTTTTTTTTACATGGGTTCTTTTTGTTTGATGTCTTGTTCAGTTACACTACTGAAATACTGGAGATTCGAGCTGACGATCCAACATTGCATGTTGTAGTTATCCCTGGAAATCCAGGTGGGTTTGTTTGTTTTTGGGTGTTTAGGCGTGTCTTTCTTTCTGTGACTGATTCAATTGTGAGAATTGTGATTTGGGTTGTTGGTATTGTAGGTGTTGTTTTATTCTATAAAGAGTTTTTGGAGTCACTATATGAGCTGCTGGGTGGAACTGCGTCTGTGACAGGCAAGACTTGGGTGTTTATTTTGTATTGTTTTGGTTAACTGTTTTGGAAATTGTAATATTTATATGCTAATTATTTTTGCAATTTTGTGCATATCATCAGCTGTTGGGCATATATCTCAAACCAAAAAGGTATTACATTTTGCTTATACAAGGTTTGGCCGTAGTGGTATTACACTTTCCATGAATTTCCACTTCTTGACCTTTGTTGTTTATGATTGTCAGTATTGTACTCTGCTTTCCTTTGCATCCAGCCAATCAGTCTTTAGAATAGATCACGGTTATGTTCTGTTTCCTGCCCATTGTAAAGCCTACGGGAGTTTTAGCAAGGTTTCTTTTGGCCAATTAGCAATATGTTAAAAGTTTGTAGGACGAAAAAAACGAAAAATTACATTTCAGACAAATCTTGGAAATTATTGCAGTCTCCTGAGCTTCAAAGTATCTGTAAATTAAATTACTTCATTAGTTGGAGTGCATTAGATGAACCAACTTGATGTTTGTTTTGTTAAACTTAAAGTTAATTAATTTGGACCGATCACAGACGTGATGAACCAAAAGCCACTAACAAGGTCTTTTTGCCTTTTTCTTGGAGACAAAAGCTAAGGCAAACTGAGCAGGAGTGTTTATGTGTATTTGACAACAATGGTTCTAGGCATCAGTTAAGTTTTAAAAGGAAGAACTCAGAATGCTATATGCTTGGATAGGATAAAAGGCTGGGTGGGCATCTGATGGGCCTCAAGTTCAGATGCTTCTGAATCTGAAAGATTATAATTTCAAGGTCGATTGTAAGATTAATATCAACTAATTATGCATGCAAGTCTATATTTTTACCTTTCATTATATATGTGGTAAAGTTCTTGCAAGTCTAGGTTTTTCCTTTTTGTTTTAGTGTGAGAACAATTTTCATGACTTCCTATCAATTAATATTATAAGATACATGATCTTTTTATGGTCCTTCATACGAAGAAATGGTTTTCTGTGTTTGGCAAATTATATAGAATACACACACACACACACACACACACACACACATATATATATATATTTGCGTAAGAAGCATCCAGTATATTATTTCTTGTTTGACACTTTGCTTCAGTGATCTGTGCCATGGTCATGATTTTTAAATGATATTCTCTTCTTTGTAGAGCTGGGAGCATGGAAGGTTGTTCTCATTACAAGAACAAATTAATCATAAGGTAAAATCTGCTTGATTTATTGTTTCTGAGAAAATTGTTGGCTGGAGAAGAGTGAACTGAGATCTTTTGTACATCTTCAAGTTGTTGGTTTAATGTCCTGTATAATGGAATGAAGCATGTTGAATGCTGTTGCCTTCATAATCAAATGTCTTGTTAATTGATCAGCTGGTATCTGGGCAACGTCTCAATAATGACAGAATTGTGGAATTAATACCCAACTCACTGAATTGAGGTTCTGAAAGTATAATTTTTAATAGCATTCCAAGCATTCTATTTGCTACAGAATTCAACTTTGACTTCCAGAACTGACCTTTATTCATAGATTTCTATTAGAGCACTATTCTATTTTCCCCATTTCCAATATTTTTCTAATGGCACATGTACACCAATTTTTCTATTTTGAAACTTATTAGTTATATTAGAGTGGCTCTGGCAAAAGAACAAAAAAGTATATTAGAGTGTCAAATATGGTTCTGACTTCCAATAAATTCATGTTTTTGCAGATGGACGTCATCAAACAGGAATTGCAAAATAATGAAGTTCCTATATTACTGGTGGGATCATTTTCTATGTCCAATTTGTTGTCTCTGTTTTCAGTGTCATGTCTGCTGTGTGTAGAAGAGGGGCATATAAGTGCAATATCTGTTCCTAAATGACCTTACGATTGTGGGACCAAGTTAGATATCTCTTGCATTTGAGTTCTGTATCAATTCTTGTCAGCAATGCTGTATCCACTAACCTTTATCAGTGAATAGACATAAAATATTACTTAACACACTAACTACCCGTAAGCATGGAACTACTTCCATGTGTCTTGTTAAAGTGTAAATATACAAAGCATTTCCCAGTGTCAGTACACAAACTTTTCTCTTGTTTAGTTTTTTTTTTGGTTTGACTGTTTATGGAGAATAGATTTTTTTTTTTCTCATGAACATATGCAACTATGTTCTGAAGTTTCTGCATAATAGAATTATGATGGAGTGCCCTCTCTTCCTCTGGTTTTTGCATTCTGGTGTTATCCATATTGTGTTTCTCCTACGTAGAAATCAAGTAAAGGAATTTAATAATCATTCTATATGAGTGATTTTCATCTTCGATCAATGGTTGGGTGATGAAAATCTGTCAGCATTTCCTGGTTTTGAACTAGAATTATTAGTATACCATTGTTGTCTTTGTGTTCTTGAGTCGTTTTACAGGTGGTGATCTCAATAATTGCTGTGATCACCAACTTATCTACAGGTTGATTTCAGGAAAGAATTTGAAAATTGTAAAATTGGATTTCTTGTTTCTGATTTTTTTCATTTTTTTCTTAGAAGAAACAGATTTATTTTCCTGCAGGTTGGGCACTCTATTGGTTCATATATATCTGTCGAAATGTTTAAGAGGTCTCCAGAGAAGGTGTTAACATTTGTTAACTACTCATTTGTCATGCCATATGGAGAACCTGTTCGCTGACATAGTTTACGGAATTGTAGGTGAAATATTGTATCGGACTATATCCATTTTTGGCGCTAAACCCACAATCCAGAAAGCAGTCTATTATTGGGAAGATTGCAGAGTAAAATTCTTACTTTGTTATGAATGAAAATACCTTTGATTCTGTCATATACATTAGAGGCATCTTCTCTGCTTCATGCACATGCTGACAGTTATTATACTGCATGTTTTCCCTGTTCCTGTTAGCTGGTACTTGTTGGTTGCATTATTTTATTTAATGCCTACTTGCGATGGTGTCTGTTAATCTTTGTTGATTTCACTTGAGAAAACTGACAGTCAATGAAATGTTTTAACCTTTTATTTGGAATTCTCACTTGGTCCTAATGTATATTGGTTGGTTCCGCTATAAACTCATTTAATCATATTAGTCGTGACAATCTAACATAAGGCATTGATAGAGATTAAAATTGCAGAATTGTGTGTTTCAGGTCCCGTATTCTATGTGTTGTCTTCAGCTTTATTGTTGCACTCTTGGGTTTGTTGCCTATCCGACTGTTGAGGTTAATTGTGACCATGTTCCTTGGGAAGTTCTGGTCAGCTACTGCAGTTGACGCTGTTTGCTCTCACTTGGTAAAGGTAAAGGTTTGTCTTGTAATAGATTGATGAAGTTGGCTTCTTAGGTCATATAATATTTTCCAAAAAGTCGTCAACCGTTTCTTTTCTGGCGCATGCCATTTCTTATTATCAGGGGAGCTTCTACCAATGTTCTACTGATTTAACTATTTTACCACTATCAAACTGTATGTTTTTCGTGAGTGAATGTGTGCGTACATGCGCACATTTGTTTTGAATCTTTTCCATCAACATTTCATTTGTATACTTGCAGTACCATACCATGCGAAATGTCCTCTTTTTGGCAATGACAGAATTCAGAAAGGTAAAACTCTTGCTTTTTGTAAATTGAAGATGTTAGTTGTAATTGATGGATTACAATAATATTATTTTGAAAATAAATGTAGTAATTGACCACCACGGGGTGCCATCATGTGGTTTTATAAATGGAAGTGTCGTTAGCGTATGATATTCTCTTGCAAATATTGCCTCTTCAGCTTCAGCAAACACCAAAATTGCTGCGTAGTTCATTTAGGAAAGTTAGAACTGTGATAAACATACTTGTGCTTACCATTGGCCTTCAATGTCAGCTTTCAGAAACACCAGATTGGGCATTCATGAGGGCAAATCAACACAAAATTGCATTTTTGTTTGCCATTGATGATCACTGGGGTCCACTGCAAATGTTTGAAGAGGTAGTTTTCTAAGTTCTTAAATTTTTTAATTGATTTGGGTTCGGAATTGTTATTGAAGTTCTTCATGCTGTTGAGTGTGTTGCAATTAGGTTTTGGCCATTCTTTTACTTCTGCTTTTGGCAATTTCCAATTTGACTATCTGGGTTTACTTGGTGTTTCTGTGGTCCCAGATTTCCAAGCAGGTTCCAGATGCTGCTCTATCAATTGAAAGAGAGGGCCTCACTGATCATGGTTTTTGTTGCACTGAGGCCGGTTCATTGTGGGTTGCTGAGCATGTAGCAAAGTTGATCAAGAATCAAAAAGCATCACAGTAATTACCTGGCCCAGCCCACCATGTTCCTCTTTAGGATGCAAAGGTTGGACTTGCAATTGGATGCATAATAAGTCAATAAAAGAGTGTACAGTACACTTAATTGTTACTTATACTAGAGTCTAGAGACAACAAATTGGTTTAAGCTGCCTGCTTGTGGACATTAGCATTTCTTCATACCTCTAAAAATAAAACTATTTATACCCCATTTACTAATAAAACTATGTTGTTAGATTGTGAATTTAACTCTGTATTGAACTTTAATAAAGAATATGCATAATGAATGGTTCAATTAATGATGCAAATGAGTAGTGACCATCACAAATGCGGGTTAAATCAGTCGGTCAGGATATCGGCCTAGTGTGCTTACACTCAAATTTGAATCTCCTTTCTTAGAGCATCTCCAAGGGAGATGTCAAATACCAAACATCAAATTTAAATTTGATGGCTGATGTGGCAATTTGACATCTTACACAGCTTTACACTCCACCCGATATGTCAAATTAAATTATTATTTTATTACATGTTAGTGTTGATTTATTTTTAATTAAAAAGAATAGAAAAGAAAAAATAATAAAATATTCATTTGACATCTTGCTTTTGGGATGTCAAAAATAACATCTCAATCTTTGGCCTTCATTCCACATCAGCTTTGACACATCGGTTGGAGTGTGTGAGATGTTATTTCTAGCTGTTAAATGTCTATGTGGTACTTTTGACATATCAGTTGGAGATGTTCTTACAGATTAGGTTAATTTAAAGTAATTTAGATTATTGCTTATATATATTAATAAAAAATTAATATCGATAAAGATCATGATGACTGGGAGACAGCAAATCTACGACATATCGGGATAATCTTTTTTTGGCATCAAATTGTGCGGTGGGGATGAAGCTGTCTTGAAATAAACTGACAGAGCAGTCATGGTAGCATGTAGGGACCCTTCAGGAGTTCACATGCAGACTTTATAGAGAGACCCCTCCTCCCCTCCTAATCCAATTAGTCAAAATCCCTCATCCCAACTCCCTCACACGCACCACCCTCTCACTCCTTCAGCAACGCAACTCAACCCTTCTCTCTCTCTCTTTCACACACACACAATGCCTACAACCAGAAGAAAGCTCCTGAACAAAATTACAGTGGACATAGGTTGCAGCAGCTGCAGAAAACCAAAACTCTTCCACATATTCCATCCAAAGCCAAAACCCACCACAACCCAAAAACAAAAGTACCACCACCAAAATAATTACTCTTCATCTTCAAGCTCATGCAACAAAGTCTACAAAGCCAACAACAACCCCACCGCATTCTATCCAAACACAGACTATGCTCCATTTTTGGACACAGAGGCCAAGCCAAAGAGCACAAGAGCCGTCCAAGGTTTTGGGAGAATTGGCAACGAGAGTGTGGCCGTGGAGAAAGACTCAGGCGATCCTTACTTGGATTTTCGACACTCGATGCTCCAAATGATATTGGAAAACGAAATATACGCAAAAGATGATCTCAGGGAGCTTCTCAACTGTTTCTTGCAGCTCAACGCACCTTGCAACCATGGAATTATTATCAGAGTTTTCACTGAGATCTGGAATGCTGTTTTCTCAGTGAGGTCGTCTGGTTCAACAATGCTGCATATTCCTCGCAAGTCACGTGACTACTAGATAGCTGATGCACGTGCAATGGCATTGGAGTTCCCACTACAAATATCATGTTGAGATCCCTTATATAAAAGACAATGTGATTCTCTCAAGCCATTAATGTAGGTCTTGTAAGATTGTGGTGCATGTATTGTAAAGAAAGATTTCCAAGATTCAGTCGTATGGAATATTTCTTTTTTACTTTGTCTTCTTCTTTTTCGCCACTTCCCTAGAGTACAAAATAATCTTTGACCCAAAAAAAGAGTACAAAATAATCTTTGCAGATAGAACATATTTTAGTGGCACATCTGAAATTTTACTATACATAATTTAAAGTGTGGTTTTCTTTTAGTTTTGAGTGGAATTTGCCGGCTGATGTGGTTGAAAAATGATGCAATATGGCTATGGGTGCAAATTGGATTGGAAAATATGATTTCGTTCAAATTAATTTCGACATTCGAAAATTTCGATAAAAATTGGATTGGAATTGGAATGTATTTAAAGATTACGCACAATTACTAAATATAATTTGATGACCAAATAGACATAGACAAGTTATTTGATAAAGGATAACAACATCTAATAAGTACTAGCATATAATAGCTTCCAAGCTTACGGTACTGAGTTTTCAATTTTGAGTCAATTTTAATCTTTCAATGGTTGTGCATGTTTATAATTTTGAATTAGTTTCTGAAAATATCTTTAAAAAATTCAAAATATATAAGTTCCAAAATTTTCCACAAATTCTGAAAATCCCGAGTTGTAATGGATCTTGAAATTTCAAAATTTTGTGTAACGGAATTGGAATAGAAGTTTTATTTCAATTTTTTTAAAATTGGAATTAGAATCTCCCGATTCTGATTCCATTCGTTCAAAAATCAGCCCTAAATATGGCAAGTGGCTGATTATAAGTTTTAAGGGTGGTGCTAGAGGCAGGGCACCAACTTGCTCACCAACTCTCTAATAGAGGTGGAGCCCGCCAATACAACGGGTCCCACGCTCTATTAGAGAGTTGGTAAGCAAGTTGGTGCCTCTAGCATTTTCCAAGTTTTAATTAGAGTGGACTTAGGATTTGAAAAGAGCTCAAGGAAAAGAAGACTTGATGTATTGTCCCTAGGAGTGTAAGTAGGGTTGGTCAAAACAATGGCCAAGTTTCAAGAAAATGAGATTTGTTGGGGGTGAAAGATAGGCATTGGGATTTGGATTATAATTATTAGAGAAGAGTTTGGAGGTGGTGAAAGACAGTTGTTTAAGATTTTTTTATATGGAGGAGGAGAGATGAGAATAGAAATCTCTATATCTGACATCTTACGTTTTCCAAGGCGCTCATTATATTTTGGCTGCCTCTGGGTTTTTAATCACACTTGCAAGTTGGCCTTCGATCTCTCTCTGTCTCATCTGGCCTGCTCTTACATGTTTTCTCGTCCTCTCTTTTGGCAAATTATATTTCTAGAATTTACACTCCTTTAACTCAGGTTTTGGTTTTGAAAATAATTAGACGTTTTAGGCATTATGAATTAAATCATCAGTATAAAGAAGAATATCTTAAATTAGTAATGTATTATTATGAGAAAAAGTAAAAACGCACGACAATACGTGATTGATTTAAGATATCACTATAGTGGTATTTCTGTGTAAGTAAGTTCTTTTCCATCAAATATGGATGGATAAGCCACGATGATGAAGACCCACTTGACTCTATAAGTAACAATAATGTATGCCCAGATCACCACACCAAACAACAAAAAGGCTCAAAGATCCAACTTGGTTATGCTTTGGAGTGACAATTACAGTTGCTTGTGTGCCTCTCTATCTCTAACCATTCCATCAAAACCAAGTTAGATTTCCAGTTGAGGCAATAATATTATATATCTTCTCTCTGGCCCAGAGAAAGTCGATCATGAAAGATGTTCCCCACTATAAATAAAAGATCTGATAAGATTGACTTTATGTGTATGAGTAGTTATTGAAACAGACTCTTGATTTAATGATGTTACAATTTACTTGGCACGAGAATTGTAAATTGCTACAAACAAGTGAATTCAATTTAATTGTTCATAATGAGGATTTAAGGGGAGAGAGAGCTGGACAGAGTCATGATGGATTGCTTTCCTATCTTAAGTATTTGCACTAGCATCATGATTCCCTGAGCAGATCGATTTGACTTATCCTTCTCAAAGTAGACCACATTCAATTCTTACATTGATGATGCAGCTACAATATTGAAATTGCTGTGTGAGAGAGATGGAAGACGATGGTTAATGTAGAATTTAAGAGAGAACGTGTATTTCCTGCAGAGTTAAAATTGAATAAACAAAGTGAGTGAAAATGAGTTCTGAATATTACACTCTCTTGAATGTATTAGTTTGTAACTGGCTATGGTATATATACTTGTTAGAGCAGGTCTGAATTTTTTTTGTTACATAGGGAGGAAAGAAACCATGGGTGCCACCGTGCCAAGCAGGGAGGAAGGGGGAGGGGCACAACCACTGTGGTATCCTCGCTCGACGGAGGTCTGAATTTAAATATCAAGAACAACAGTTGTTAAATTAAAAAAGAAAAGATGCATAAGTAAATCAAGCTAGAAATGAATTAAGTAAATTTTTTGGAAAGCTCTGGAATGATCAAAGAAAGCATGTCCAACAGTGCTAACTTAAAATTTTAGTATCCTAAAACATAGACAAACAACATCCCTTCAACTTTGTTGATTTTGATTTGGGGCATCAAAATGCGAGACTGACATGTAAAGTGGTACATAGTGGGAACCATGAGGAAGGGGGGAGAAAATGGGAATGACATGACAGGTCACCTCTCTTCAATCTGAGAAACGCCATTGCTCCAATCTTGTTCCTTAAAGGCTTGCCCCTAAGTTGACCTCTCTTGGAAAGTTTAATTTCTAAATCTTTGCTTTTGGGACATTTTGGGGTTTTTAAGTCACTTTAGGAAGGCTGAATTCCAATTATTAGTGACTCTTGTAACTTAAAAACCCTACCAGGTTGTGGATTAGGTGTTTGGCTGTCCTTTGGCTCAATATCTGGTACACAGATCACTAGTGCGGGCATACCAGTTTGCTATTCTATCGGTAGAAGTTAGAAGATTTTCAACTGCTGAAATGGCACGTGTCGCTAAGCTTTTTTGGTGTGTTTGTGTTCAGTGGCGAAGCCAGAATTTCATGTGTGTAGGGGCCTCTTACAAATTATAAAGAATAAAAAATTCGAACTCACAATACATACGAAAAATAGTATATATATATCACATATGTCAAGAATTATATTGCTTATTGGTTGCAATCATAATTGTCCTCAACAAAGGGATAACCAAATACATTCTGAGCAAGAAAAATTGCAAGAGATAGACAAAGAGTAGCGATTTAGCAAATATCTTTAAAGCTTTTCCCCCCATTAAAACCAATAGAAAGAAAAAAAATCAAAATTTCACAAACTAAAAAAAAAACCTTAGGTCCCTTCATGCATTCATATCATACATGAAAAAATGTTTATGTAAAAATATTGACTAAGTATGAAAAATGGTTTTTCGGAATAATCATTTTCTTAAGATAATTTTTGGCGGCTTTTATTTCTTACACATCAAATAAGAAAACTTGATTTTATGAGATTTTAGTATGAAGTATATATTGACTTAATGAGCCATCATTTTTAGCCTAAATCGTATTTTGCACTAAAATCGATTTGGTGGGAATATGATTTTCTAGTATTTTTATTTGAATCCAAATAGGGGTACTTCCTTATTTACATTGTAAACTTAAGTAAATAGAGTAATATAAAAATAAATGAAAGTAAAAGGACAAACTCAGGTGCAAGAGACAAAGCCATGGAGAGGGATCGAACTCAGGTGCAAGAGATAGACACACTATCCACTACCAAAAAAATGGCAATAGTTACAATTATGTCACCAAATTTGGTGACTGTTGTGGGGGTTACTAAAGGCTTTAGTCACATTTTTTAGTCACATTTTTGGCTTTTTTTTTAGTGACTAAAGCCTTCAGTAATTACCCTACAACAGTCACCAAATGTAACCAAATAATGGTAACTGTTGCCACTTTTTTTTGCAGTGATCGTTGGCCAATTGACCTAACCCACGCCTATAATTTCTCTAAACCTATTGATTGAAAGCTTAATTGGTGCCACTGAAGCTTGGGCCAGATCGAACATAGCCCCTTCCTAGAGTGATGGAGATATGAGAAGCCTCTCTTCATTTTCAATCAAGCTACGTACCAAAACATCCAAACATTACTAGTTGAATAAAATATGTGTTCACTAGGTATTTCTTCATTCATATTTCCAAGTAAAATCCTACTATCTGATTTTACTTCTATCTAACTTTTTGTTTCATTATGTTGGTTTTTCCAAGCATCTGGTTTCATATAATGACTAACAAACAATAACTTTTCATTATGTTGGTTTTTCTCTAACTTTTTGTTTCCAACTTTCTCATATTCTATCTTCCTAGTTCCAATCCTTTCAAAATCTTGGGAAAAAAGAACTTGGGATCCCATAGATTATTTATCCCCTCTTTCTTGGCTTTTGTTTTTGGTAAAGAGGTAACTTCTTTCCTATCCAACCAGTTTCATGGTTGCTCTTTTTTCTCCTTTACCAAGTATAGTGTGTTTAGGGTTTCAATGATCTTTCTGCATGAACTTAATGAAAAGTCATGATTCAAGTGAGTAAATGGTCCTAATCGAATCCCTGTTTGGAGCTCTGTTGGTGTCAGGGGGTGTTTATGGGACAAAGCTTTTCAAGTTTCTATATGTCAAGTCGAAAAAGCCCAATTAAATGCAAATGGCTATTAAAGCCATGCACCAAATGGATTGATTGATCTGGGCCGGAGTTGGTGGTTAGTATAAATAAGCCTCTTCTCCATCACATCCTGCTCCCATTTAAGGTGGCCTTAAATAGACTTCAATGAGTGGTCCTTGAGACACGAAAACTACCATGCATTTGAAAGCGGATGGTGTCTAACTCCAATATAAAATTACTATCAAGTTTTCAAGGTAAACTTCTTTCTTTTAGGCATGTCATGTTGCCAACTTTTCTCAATATAACATGTCAGATTATCTGATAAGAAGTAAAAATACGGGTTTATTTTTATTGCTCTATTGAAAAGAGTGAATTACTTAATTTAAGTTATTGAAAATTTCGTAAGAACACATTTCTTATAATAATTAAAAAAGAACCATCATCCAT